GTCAGGGAGAAATGAGAATCTCTGGGGCACTGGAACATGGATTCTCAACAGTGTTGTCCCAGAGTTCCCTGCATTCAGCCCATGTGACAGGGATGGTTTGCATGTCTAACAGATTCACTCATCTCCTGCCTGTGCCCCCTGACACATCTGCTCCCAACATACAGGGAACCCAGAAGTCTGACCCATCTACTGAGTTGTTCCTCAACAACTACCCATAGTCTGAGCAGGTCTGCCTCCAAGATGCCTCCAGTTTTTGTAGTGAGCTGAGGAGAAAGCACTCAAAAGCTTCTTCCCCATTCCCTCCTGATCCCCACATTCCCACCCCCACGCTAGCCTCTGTCAACTCCAGCCCTAGGACAACCCTTCTCAGACTTTGAGTTTAAAATTTGGTGTCTTCCAGAGGCACAAAAATTCAGTTCTTCAACCCTCAAATATCAGCTCCACAAAGCTCTTCTACATTCTTTCAAATGTGCTCACCCAATTAAGGCTCAAACATGCTCAGTGGCAAAAAAATAAATAAATAAATAAATAAATAAGAAGAAGGCATTCATCAACCAGTGCATGCCACCAGTGGCTCACACCAGGATGTCCACTGGACAGACTGTGCCAATAGAAATAGTGTTTGTTGCCAAAATTCCATAGTACACTTTACCTTGGTGCCATCTGGCAAAGCAGACCACTAGTCATGAAGCCCCCAGGTAGTGGGAAATACAAATTGCTGAGCTGGTGTCAACATGTTAAACCATCAGGAAAAAATTCAAATCCTATAGCCTGTACCCACACACCTTCAGAATCAAGGGGACATTTCCTCTAATTAACTCTGTGTCCCCGCCCGCCCCACTTCCATGTTTCATAACCACAGCCAGTGGCTAAGGGAATTGACATGAACCCTGACTAGTCCAGGTATGGGCCTGTTTCCAAGGTATACTTGCTCTGCAGTCCTGATACAGTCATTTAATCCATCTAGACGAGGTGAGGCCTAGGCTATTGTCTGGAAACCTGATTCGAGAACCACTGTTCTAACTAATCTCTAAGGCCTCTTCACGCCTTTACTTTGCATTTCTCCAATCCGGGCAGATGCATATTCTGCATTATTCTTTTATCAAATTAGCTAACCAAAAGCAAGAGAAATGACATCTGTCTCACTTGCAGAGATTGCATTATTTTGAAAATAAGATTGCTCTTATTTTTATTTTCTTTCCCCAGCTGGTTGGTTAAATCATATTTACCCCATATAGTTCATCTTAGCATCGTTAAAACAGTGCTAGACATTCCGTAGTCAATTAGCTTATCTTAAATAGAATTTCACAGCAGTTTTCACAGGGAGAGATACAGGATACAGAGCAGGAGAAAGTTCAATGAAAGATATGACCAGAGCTCACTAGGGCCTTGTTGATTCTGCCAGGAGGGAAAATAATCATAAAACCAAGTTTCCCCTGGGGCCCACCTGCAGTCACCCCAGCAACCCATGGTTTTCCTAACTTTCCCATAAGGTAATCGCAATTCCTTTGATAGCTTCTGGATAAAGAACCAAGCAAATATGATCCTTTTGGACCACTTGCTATTTGCTTATCAGATTGTGACTTTAATTTTTTCATGGGTTGTTTTCCTCCCCTCAGAGTTTAAATAGACAGTGTCTGCTGCCATCTGGTGGTTATTACAAGCAGCTGCAGATCCTACAATAGATCATTGAATCCATTCCGAGGCCTAACATTTCTTAGAACCCTGAATTAAAAAAAAAAAAATCACATCTATATTAAGATTCCTGCATCAATGGAATTTTTGAAGAAAGTCATTAATATTTCATTTAAAAGTATTATCTTAATCCAAAAAATGGGGTACAATTAAGAACTAGAAGTGAGTTCGGGGAAGTCACTCATCCTGATATACAAAAGCTTTGTGACTCGTCTATTGCTCAATTTCTCTGAATCCTTTCTCCCTCTTCTATAAATTATGGGTGTTGATGGTGCCATATCTTCAATGCTCTTGTGAAAATTCTATGCCTAAGTCCTTGAAACAGTGTCTGACAGTTAAAAGTTCTGATGTGTTCTCCGCCAATGACGATAAATATGATGGTGAGGTCAATCAGACCTCAACTCCATGCTAACCCTGAACCAATTAAAGAGACTGCCAGATATCCAAGCACATCTCCAGAATTAATTGGTTCCAAATTAGTTAAGGGAAAGGCAAGTAATTGACTACCAGGCAGCAATATGTTCTTAAATTATCCCCAGGGGATTCTAATAAAATTAACATACAGCAAATGACCCACAGAAATACCATGTCCCTTTGAAGGTCATTGTTGATATGACCACTTGGTGGCAATTATAAAATATTTGCTAGGGAAACAGTAAAAATCCAATCTGATCACAGCAACATTTAGGTAAACTCAGGTGGGATGATGAAATGGAAGAGGCAGGTGGTATCAGGACCAGCTGTAGATTGTAGACTGGAAGAAGAGTTTATTCATCTGTGGGTCTCACAGCATCTCCCTAAGGGAAGCCTATGAGAGGAAGGAGAGGGGAAGAGGCCACAAGCAACAGATGTGGCTTTCAGGACTAGTGATGTACAGAGGAGGGGCCAGTGAGAAGAAATGGGTTGTCTTTCTTCCCCACCACCAATGCCTTACAGACATACTTAAACACACATGGGCCCAACTTGATGGACATGCAGTCAGCAGCCCGCCCCAAAAGCCCTCTGTAATGACTATTCATTCATCGGAGATGCATTAAGATTTTTCAGCATCCTTTTACCTTGCATTGCATTTTAAGTAAACTTTGCTTAGATGTTATTACAGTAGTAATCATGTGGCATCCATATGTACTGAGTCCCAGTGTGCTGGGGATTCCAGGTAACTAAGGATTCAGTCAATGCATGATCACCAAGCAGAAATGGCCTCACTTAACCTTGTAAAGGACTTCCTTCCAGTCACATATTTTCATGTCTATGTACAAGCCTCTTCATAAAGGCATTATGAGAGACTGATAGATTTTAACATCTGGGACAGAGTAAGTTAAAAAGAAGTGGTACGACAATATAATTTATTACACAAACAACTGTATAAATATTTGAGTCAAAATAGCTGACTTATCTTTTTAAATAAACACATACCTGTCATATATGAATGTTAAAAAATAAAATATTTGGAAGGATATTGTTAGATAGTGGTTCCCTTTGAGAAGAGGGAAAACTAGTCTATCACCTAGAAGAAGAAAACAAAGTTTTACTTCTCTTTGTGCCTTGGTAAGTTTCTTTTTTTTTTGTAATGAGCATATATGAGTTCTATGTTTTAATGCTAGGAGGCCCTGATGAATGAATTGATATGTCACCCATACCTCTATGCACACATGAAAAAAAGTGTAAATTAATAGGTGTGTAAACTTACATAAAAAATATAAACTTATAGGTGTGGTATCTATGCACGTAGAGTACATGTATGTATATGTACATATCTGAATTGTTAATGGGAATGAACATGTCATGCTGTATTAGGTGAGAGTGGTCTACGTAGATTATATATACATGCAAAAGAATGGCTACTTTTGGCTTCTATATTCTGCAAAAATATATCAGTCTTTCTAATTAAATAGCAGATTTCACCCTATATTCCCCTAAAACATTACTCATACTTGCTGACATTTGCCAAAGCTGAAATGATCTAAAGTTTTACATTGTCTTTCTAATCCTCCATCAAATAGTACATACATAAACATTTGACGTAACCAAGAACTCTTTAGCCAGAGCCTATTCTAGTCTGAAAAATCTTTGGAGAAAAAAATAATTAAGCTGGCAATTGTTTATTAGGCACACCACAACCTTGAAGAAAACTTAGAAACAAATCTCAAATTCTGACAAGACATATTTCTCTAAAATTAGATTTTGTGGTGTCTAATTTGACAACAGCTCTTTGCTTGACATTTCAGTTTACTATGAAATAAATTTGAATGAAATTTTTAGAAATTATTTAAGGAATGTTTAAGTTCTGGCCAATGGCCCACTCACTTAAATCCATATTCAATATATTTTCAATGTTATTGAAGAATTTTAATAATTCATATTGAATAATACAGATGAAATAGGTGCATTTTAGAGTATATGAATCATCTATTTAAAGCAATTCAAGTAATTTTAAAGTTAATCTTAAAAAGGGATATTTCATAATTTATATACAAAACTTGATGAAAAAGGACGCCTTCGTCACTTTTGATGAAAATGTTGTCCAGTAGAGCCTCTGTGGAAAACAGTAAGATTTCTCCAAAAACGTTAAGACTAGCACTTCCATATGGTCTATCAACTCTGCTTCTTGCATCTAACCCCAAATACCAAAACATTAATTTGAAAAGATATATGCACACCTGGGTGCACTGCAGCACTTAGGAAAATAGCCGGGATATGAAAACAACCCCAATGTTCAATGACAGGTGGATGTGGTATAAATAAATATACAATGGAATATTACGCGGCTTCCAAAAAGAGGACATCTTGCAGTTCACCACAGTATGCAAGGAACTGGAAGGCAAGCAAAATAGATCAGAGGAACAAGGATAAATAACAGAGGATTCCACACATCTGTAGTATATTAAGAAACAAGACAAGGAAATAGATAGTGCAGAACAATGACAAACCTTTAGCCCTGAATTACAAAACTGAGAATGCCACACAGTGGAGGGAGCTGTGGGAGTGAGTGAAGAGATGGACTAGAAATGACATAAGGATAATAGTGGAGGATCTTGGGCATTTTGGTGGTAGTGAGGTGCAGTAATGGTACACCAAAACTACAAATATTAGCACTACTGTACCCATGTTACCTAAACTAAGATGTTTAACTTTAAAAGACAGCAATTAAAAAAAACTTATTTTACTCACTGCCTCCTTTTACTGCTGGTCATATCGTGAGTCATATGAATCTAGGGTGGGAGAAGGAAGGAGTTCACATGGTGCTTTAAGGATCCCCAGAAACCACATTACTTTGATGAATGAACTCTTTGTTCTTTCTGCAGGAGGACTACAACCAACTGAGGCCGCTCTCCTACCCCAACACTGATGTGTTTTTGATCTGCTTCTCTGTTGTGAATCCTGCCTCTTACCACAATGTCCAGGAGGAATGGGTCCCTGAGCTGAAGGATTGCATGCCCCATGTGCCTTATGTCCTCATAGGGACACAGGTTCAAAGGCTGAGGGTGGCAGGGTGGGACAATGGGTGAAAGGACAGCAAAATATCCTGTTTTATCAAACACTATAGAAAAGGGTCTCAGATAGATCAACTCTGTCAACAACAGTTCTTCAATTTGCATGATTGGGATGGAGAGATAGTATAGTGGATAGGGCATTTGTCTTGCACATGGCTGACCAGAGTTCAATCCCCAGCCTCTTATATGATCTCCCAAGCCTACAAGGAGCGATCCTTGAGTGCAGAGCCAGGAGTAACCCCTGAGCAAACCCAGGTGTGGCCCAACAATAAGTTAAATTATTTAGTTAAATTATTTAGCATGATTATTTAGCTGATAGCTGTAAATATCATAGAACTATTTGATTCTGGAACTTTTGATAAAGCCTTTAAAAATAAATCTCTTAACTTCTCATGCTTAAATAATAAAATAATTTTTGAAATTACCCTTCTCTAGCTATGAATCAAAGGAATGAGATGAAGATGCCACTTGCATGTGTCAGCTCATTGTTTTATGTCTAAAACCACAATGCTTTAATGCCACAAAACAGATATGAATGTCAAAATGACTCCAGCAATATAAATAAGCACATTATATCAGAAACTCCTTAATAACACTCCAGGGAAAGGACTTAAAATAAACCCTGAAAGTTCCACCATTCACTGTAAGCCCTGTGGTAGTCCACATTTTGGGGGTTTGGTGAGGAAATGGGACAATTAAGACAGATGTATCAGATAAATGAAGCTGCTACTTAGAAACTTTTAAAGTATTTGAAAGCAAATGAAATTTCATACTTTGAACTTCCAAATGTAAGTCGATTGGACAAATATATTAAATCATGTTCCATGATCTTTAAATTTATCATTTTTTCCTTATTAAAACCCATATAACTATCCCAAGTGTGTAATAATGTGGCAAGACTTCATTGTTTTCTGTTTCATAGACTGATGCTTCTAATTCACATTTTATACTCTACCTACAAAGAGAAATTTTCAGAAAACAGAATAAAAGCTATTTCCAAGAGAAGACATGAATAGATAATTAATACATTCATAAATCATAATATAGTCACTCTCAAAGATAATAGTGTGTTTAAATCAAATCTGCTTGCCTTAATTCCAAGTCATAATTTTTCATCATATTGATTGGTCCTGGATTACCACTGCCAGATATATACAGGAATATGCAAAAGTCTTTGTATGACTTGAGTCTATTTTAGAACAAACAGTACACTGAACAATTAAGGTCAAAATAATAATAAAAGCCACAAAACATACAAAGCTGGGCAATATGCTTATAAATAAGACCTTAGTTTATAAATACTTTCTTTTTTCTTTTAGACTCAAGTCTGTATGTGCCCACTCATATAGGAAAGGGTTCACAGACTAGTGAGACCTATAGCAACTATAGTATTTTGTTAAATTATTTGGTATCCCCAGCATCACATAGACCCTCCTCCCCAGCCCTACCAGGAGTGATTTCTGAGCACAGAGCCAAAAATAAACCCTGAACATAGCCAGGTATGACACCAAAAAAAAAAAAAAAGAAAACAACAAGTAATCATATGTAAGTTCAACCATGAGGCTATTTTCAAAGTAGTTCTACCCTTCAAAATATTAGTGCTTATTCCTTGACAAATCCTTGAGAAGCTCCTCTTTAGAACTTGCCTCACAGCCCACAATGCATTTGTGAGTCTATGTGGTTCCTTAAAGGAGAAGTTCTTTAAAGCTTCATAAATGATAAAGGGATGGGGGGGCGGAATCCTTATGAGATCAAAGTTTAACATATCTGGAAAGGTCTGAAAAAAATAAGTGAGCACATGTGTATTTTTTTTTTGCTAGATTGATCTCCGCGATGACCCCAAAACCTTGGCCCGTTTGCTGTACATGAAAGAGAAACCTCTCACTTACGAGCATGGTGTGAAGCTTGCAAAAACGGTACAGTCAGGTTGGAATTTAGTTGTAAATGTATGTTGAGAGAAGAGCTTGGCGTATGTTTTGGAATCGGTGAGCTTCCTAGGCTTTGCTCAAATGTGCAATGAGTTCGGAATCCTTTCTCTGCTCTGCACTCTACCCTCAATTCTAGTCATTCTGAAAGGATCTGCTTTCAGGTTGTTCTTATCAGCCTGCACTGTCTGTTTCTTATTAAGAGACTTGGTGAAATTAAATAGTCAAAGCCATTATTGTTTAACAACCTCTATAATCCATTTGCCTATCTTTAGCATCAACAAAGGGAGTCATTTGGTATTTATTTGAAAATTCATGTTGATGATTGGTGTAACTCATTTCAGTGACCCCATCCATAAAAAGTATCTTATGATTTTCTTAAAGGAAGTTAAAAATGGCCTCTGACAGGATTATATCTGTATGATATTTCTCATCATATTAAGAGCCACTTTGAAAATTTAAATTGTGCCACAACAACCAAAGAGAAAACTAATGTAGACACACCCAAGAGATAGTTAATTGGGATAACTCTGTTGGCTACACTCAGATAATAGGAACTTGCTTCACTGCTACAATAGATTGCATAGACCTTCCTAACCTAACCTTGATAGTGATGCTGTAGGGGAAACGCTTTAGAAAGTACTTTTCTGAAACTGAATCTTTGTCCCTTGATTACTTAACTACTGCACACAGACTCAAAAATGGGCAACAGAAGAAAGAGGTTCTTATACAAGAAGACTCTTCGATGTCATTTTTCCATACCCTGAATCCACCTCATCATTGACTTGGTCACAAACTCATGTCAGAGTTTTCAGAAGTTTCTTTTATTTTCTAAAATAACTAACCCTGCAGTAAATGCATGCCACAGAGAGTGAGGACTTACTCTCTTCAAGTGTAATAATAATTATAATAATATCTTCTTTAACAAAAATATATGTACTTATCTAATAAAGGGTCTGGAGTGATAGCACAGCGGTAGGGTGTTTGCCTTGTGGATAGCCAGCCCGGCTGAGCCAGGTTCAATTCCTCTGCCCCTCTCAGAGAGCCCGGCAAGGTACCGAGAGTATCTCGCCCACATGGCAAAGCCTGGCAAGCTACCCATGATGTATTCAATATGCCAAACACAGTAACAACAAGTCTCTAAATGGAGATGTCACTAGGCCCTCTCTAGCAAATCGATGAACAATGGGAGGACAGTGTGTGACAGTGTGTGTATCCTAATAAAACTTGCCTATGGATCCAAAAACTTAAAAAGTGCATTCAGAAGTAAATAAGATGAAACTGTGTTTTGGGTTATTTGCCTTTGCAGGGTTGGGGATGGAATTCAAGATCTCACACATGCAAGACTGGTACAGTCACAAACCCAACCTTAAAATTTAGGTTACTTTGTTTTTTCATTTTGGGGCTACACCCAGTAGACTTAGGAGCCATTTCAAGCTCAGTGCTCAGCATCACTCTCAAAGGTATTCGGGGGACCATGAAATACCAGTGATCGAACCTAGGCTTCCCACATGCAGATGTGCTCCAGCATTTTGAGCTAGCTGTTCCTAGACTTTAAATAAAGATTGAAAGTAAATAAACAATGACAAAAATTACCATAAAATTAAGTCCATTTATTTCAAATCATCCAGTCATTAATACAGAAAAACATAGAGAGAAATTTTCACTACTTTATTGGCATGGTACAACAATTACAAACTGTAAGCAAACTAAAACCTAGTTCAAAATCCGTCAAAAAATTGCTTGAACCTAAAAAAACTGAAAAATCTTCTGTCCTACTGAGGAAGATCAAATGAAGTGTTAAAATGTTTTGGTGGATGTGATACATGCAGATGTCTCAAAATGCTTTAGAGACTGTCTGTGAATAGCCACGTCAGAACTTTTTATATGGAGTCATTCGTGGATTTCTTAGGATACTCTGTTTTATAAGCCCTGTCTCACTTCATGATAACCTTCTTAAACCCTTTTAAACAGTGCTTATCTCATCTTCAGATGAGAAAAGAGATTCTTAAGGAAATCCACATGTTTGGTTCAAACAGGTAATCACAGCAAAGGCACACAGTTCTAATCTGGATCTGTGAATGTCATCCCATGCACCTCCCCAAAGAGTAGCCTATCTCCTCCAATCGTCTCTTTCTCCTCCAGCAAAAAGAGTCCATATCTCTAAGTTCTCCAACCTTTCCCCCCAAACTCAGCTTTCATCCTTCCACTGTGGTACACAAACACAGAGTGCCACACCTCACTGTATGTGATTCCCAGCTCTGTATGTCTCACATTGGGAAGATCCCATCAGTTCAGCACCAACTTTTTCCAGCAGCTTGACTTCTGTGTTCCTTGCTCTCAGCCTCTCTCCCACCATCATTCTGTCAGTGTCCTAGCCTGACTTCTCATTTAGGAAGTTGTTGGTTTGTTGGGTTTATTTTTTTTCCTTAATCTCTGAAAAAGGGAGTCTAAAACCTTCCAGCTCATTTTTGTACTTATTTTAGGAACAATGGCTGAATTCGTCACTTCATTGCCTCTTGCCAGTTTCTCCTAGCAACTGCTCTCAGATACAGAGAGAATCATGTTTAGCTTACAAGATCCAATTTAGAATAAAACCAAGCAAGAGTTTAACTTGTTTCATCACAATTCATGTAATTATAGATGCTTTAAGTTTCTCTGTTCCCTGACTTTCCTGTCAAGCAGTTTATAATAACAGTCCACATTTATGGAGGGTTTGCAAGTGTGCCAGGCTTCATGCCAAGTGCTTTCCATGTCTTGTCTTAATTAATCTTCACAGCATGCCCTGAGGTGTGTATATCATTATCTCTCCTTTCCTCGAAGAAACTGAGACTCAGAGAGGATCAGGTCAGTTCCTTAGAAAATGGCAGGACTAGGATATGTCTATGCGTTTTATCTGTCTCTTCCTGTAATCTGCAAAGTATAGTCCTTCACTTCAGGGCTTCTTTTTCAATATACTGAATATTCTTCCCCTTACTTGGACCCTAGGCAATTTCAGGGGGTTTTTTTCTATCCAATTCCTTTGGTCCAGTACTTTTCAATTTCCAAAGCAGTTTTTTATCTGTCATTTCATTTTGATCTCAAAGGGATCACTTTATTTTTAAAGGACATTTTCATTTCATACATATTTACAATTCTTAATACTCCAGAGACAACATTTACATAAAATCCTTGTGCCAACTTATAATAAATATTCATTGTTCTCCCTGTTTTACCTTCCCTCTTTTCATTATTGGGTTCTTCTTTAGTCTCACTCTCCCATGGTTTGCCCATTTGTATATATCAATATTGCTACTGTATTTGATAGTAACAGATAAAACACCTACTATGTGCCAAAAACGTTGGTAGTCTTCAGCTCTAAGATTATCATTCTTGTGCATTCTTTCATAACTCTAGAGTATTACGGGGACCATATATGGTGCCAGGAATTAAACCTAGATCAGTTATGTGCAAGAAAAGTGCCTTAGCTGCTGTAGTATCACTCTGGCCCCACGGAATTTCTTAATTAAAATATTTTTCACTTTCATTTTTTTGTTTTTTACCTCTTTTTTACCTCTTTTTTCATATTCTCAGCCCTGTATCTTTGCTGTTGTTGCTGCTGTTGTTGTTATACTCATTCTTGATTTTAACTTTTATTGTCTGTGGAGTTGGTAGCATATGCCCAGGGTGAACCATGAAAGTAATTAGTAAAGTAAAGTAAAGGCCTTCCCGTTGATCATCGATTTGCTCGAGCGGGCCCAGTAACGTCTCCATTGGAGACTTTGTTGTTACTGTGTCTGGCATATCGAATACTCTCGGTAGCTTGCCGGGCTCTCCGAGAGGGGCGGAGGAATCGAACTCGGGTCGGCCATGTTGGCTGCGTGCAAGGCAGACGCCCTACCCGCTGTGCTATCGCTCCAGCCCTGTGTCCCCACAGAAGTAAAAAATGAAAGTAATTAAAGTAGCAAAATTGCTGAAAAGCTTCTGCAATCAATGCTCAATCCTGTTAATCAACTGAAATCCTCATTATACTCTTTGTAACTGAAAAGATAACCCATACCCACCTTGTTTTTATGAGGGGCATTTTACAACTAAGGTGTGGGATGCAGTGATGAGAGAGGAAGACAGACCATGCCTGAAAGAGCTTGCAGGCCAGAAGATAGACAAGCAAGCAAAGGATGAGACTGAATACACAGAAGACCCACAAGGAACTAGCATAGCAGAGAGGAAGGTGAGGGACACATGCATGTAAGAGGGTTCAGAGAAAAACGTTTTTGAGTCATTGACAACTGAATCAAACTTGGAAAATAAGAACAAGCATGGCTGGAGCTATAGCACAGTAGTAGGGTGTTTGCTTTGCGCACTGCCGGCCGGCTGACCCGGGTTTAATTCTTCTGCCCCTCTCAGAGAGCCCGGCAGGCTACCAAGAGTATCTGGCCCTCACTGCAAAGCCTGGCAAGCTCCCCGTGGCGTATTCAATATGCCAAACACAGTAACAACAAGTCTCACAATGGGGACGTTACTGGGCCTGCTCGAGCAAATCGATGAGCAACAGGAGGACAGTGACAAGTTAGACAACTGGGGAAAAAACATCCCCAAGCAGGGACACCAGTATATGAAAAACAGAGGAAGGACCAAATTTTTATCCACATATGATTCCATCAGTTCACACTCCTAGTTTTCCTGTAATTTGGTAAACAACACTTAATAATTTGGAAATTTTGTATGAATTTAAACTTTTTTTTGTTTTTAAAAAATCAGAAGGTCTGACAATACTGGGCTAGCATTTCTTTATCACCTGCAATCTTTGAACAGGTTTTAGACAAAATATATATTCTTAGGCTTGTACCTAAGAATATATATATTAGGCTTGCACCTCAGATTATATATATATATATATATATATATATATATATATATACATACATATATCAACTGGAGCGATAGCACAGCAGTAGGGCATTTGCCTTGCATGCGGCCAACCTGGGTTTGAGTCCTCTGCCCCTCTTGGA